CACATTTTTTGAGGGTAAGCATTCAAACTTTGCAGTTAGGGTACCGTTATCTCTTTCTAAAAACTGACCAAAAATGAGGTGTCTACGCCCAGTTGGGGCGTGGCAAATCGGAAAAACCTGTATATTCTACAGTATTAGAGCGAAACTTAACTACTAAATTGTTGATGGGATGTGAATGAGTATTCTGCAGTCGGTAACGCCCGACTGCAACGTTCTTACTTGTTTTTAATTAATTTTTGACCGAACGGAATTTAATGAAACTTTCAGCATATGATCTACATATTATATTGAATATTTGAGAAATTTAAAAAAAATTAAAAATGAATGTTTTTACTCGATAAAAACATAACGGGATGATTTATCGAATTTTAAAAGCAAACTCGACGTCCACGCTGTATATACTGTCATTTCAAAAAAAAATTGAAGTCTCTAGCCCTTATATCTTCGGAAATGACGCGTTAAAACATACGGACAGACGGACAGACAGACAGACGGACAGGGCCAAATCGACTCAGCTCGTCGCTCTGATCAAGAATATACATACTTTGTGGGGTCTGCCACGCCTTCTTCTGCCTGTTACATACATTTCAACAAAACCATTATACCCTCATTTCCCATTGAAAATGGAATCAGTGTATAAAAAGAGCAAAATGAGGTATACATCGTTAAAAATATTACGAAGTTTTTTTATTGATAAAAAAAGATCGGGATGAGTTATCAATTTTTAATGATAAACTTGATATCCGCGCTGTAATTACGGACATTTAAAAAAAAAATTTGAAGTCTCTAGCTCTTATATCTTCTGAAATCGACGCGTTCATACATACGGACAGACGGAGAGACTGACGGACAGACATACGGACATTGAAAATGGGTTCAGGGTATAAAAATCAGGTTTATAAAAGCGCTGAAAAAGTTATTTCCCAAAATATTCATTTTTATTCAGCCAGAGCTCTGTTCTTAATTTGAGACTCCCCTGTAAGAAACAATTAAATCGATGTGTGATTTAAAAAAATTTAGTTCCTGGATTTAATCCAGAATTATTAGAAAATCTGCAGGGCATTATCGAAAAAATGAGCGCCAAGGGAAAATATGCCGTACTAGTTTGCGATGAGCTCCAAGTAAAGAGAGGTCTTCAGTACAATTCATCTCTTGACGAGATACAGGGATTTGAAAACGATGGTATAACAAGTAAGAAAGCTTTAGTCGAGACTACTCGACTACGAGATCCCCTGAACCCTTGGAGTAATAGCTATTTCAATAATTTTTCGCGTCTTTCAGCTTACACAAGAAACACGCACACACGCACACACGCACACACACACTCACACACACACACACACACGCACACACACACAGGCATACATACACACACATACATACACACACAGATACACACACACACACACATACACAAACATTTACATACATATACACACACAAGCATAAACACGCATGGGCGGCAGTGAGCGCTTACTATGAGAACTTAATTGTTTAATAACTTTTTTTATGGACGTACGATCTTCATGAAACTTTCAGATTATGATTATAACATAGATATGCATGTAATTGCCAAAGCACATTTGAAATACGCTTTTTACAAAAGTGAGGGTGAGGGGGTGAATTTAAGGGTGGGGGGTAAATTTTAACACAAACCGAAATTGTATAAATTGCATATAAGCATACATTAAAAATTTGGAGACTCTAGCAATAAAGGTGTAGAAGATATAATTTTATAACTGGTTTTCGATAAGGGTTTTTATCGATAAAAAAAGATCGGGATGAGTTATCGATTTTTAATGATAAACTTGATATGCGCGCTGTAATTACGGACATTTTTAAAAAAATTTGAAGTCTCTAGCTCTTATATCTTCTGAAATCGACGCGTTCATACATACGGACAGACGGACAGACAGACGGACAGGGCCAAATCAACTCAGCTCGTCGCCCTGATCAAGAATATATATACTTTGTGGGGTCTGCCACGCCTCCTTCTGCCTGTTACATACATTTCAACAAAACCATTATACCTTGATTTCCCATTGAAAATGGGTTCAGGGCATAAAAAGAAGTTTTTAGGACAGCAAGTCTGTGTTTTTCTTGTTAGGGGCTCTTTGAGAACTGGAAGTATGTTTTAAATTTTGCCAAAAATCGAAATTGTATAAAATGCATATAAGTATACATAAACAAGTAAGAACGTTGCATTCGGGCGTTACCGACTGCGGAATACTCATTCACATCCCATCAACAATTTAGTGGTTAAGTTTCGCTCTAATACTGTAGAATATACAGGCTTTTCCGATTTGCCACGCCCCTAATGGGTGTAGACTTATAATTTTATTTTTAGACTTTATAGAATCATAACGTTAGCTGACATGCAAAATTTCAGCATTCTAGGTTTACAACTTTAGGAGATACAGTTTTATCCGATTTGCCACGCCCCCAATGGGCGGAGATATATCCGCCATAGCTTGTGATCTTAGGTTGTCGACGCGGACCTACATACCAAATTTCAGCTTTCTAGCTCTTCAACAAACATGATTTCTGGTATATCGGAAAATGCATTTTCCGATTTGCCACGCCCCTAGTGGGCGGATCGGGAAAATTTTAACACTTTATAAATCGGAGATATACACGAGTATGTGTTCCAAATTTCAAGTCTCTAGCTTCAATAGCGCCGAAATAGATTTCGTTCATACGGACAGACGGACAGACGGACGGACGGACAGACGGACAGACGGACGGACATTGCACAAAACCAATATACTGATTCACTTTCGTGAATGAGTATAAAAATTTGGAGACTCTAGCTTTAAAGATGTAGGATATAAATTTATTACTGGTTTTCGATAATGTTTTAATCGATAACAAATTAACGGAGCAATTTATCGATATTTAAGGCAAAACTCGATATGCGCGTGCTATACACGGACCTTGGAAGAAAATTCAAGTTTCTAGCTCTTATATCTTCTGAGATCGACGCGTTCAAACATACGGACAGACGGACAAACGGACGGACGGACAGACGGACAGAGCTAAATCGACTCAGCTCGTCACCCTGATCAAGAATATATATACTTTGTGGGGTCTGCCACGCCTCCTTCTGCCTGCTACATACATTTCAACAAAACCATTATACCCTGATTTCCTATTGAAAATTGGTTCTAAAATCAACGCGCTCAAACATACGGACAGACTCAGCTCGTCGCCCTGATCAAGAATATATATACTTTGTGTGGTCTGCCACGCCAACGTCTTCGACTGCAAAATTATAAGAATTTATTTATTGAATAATTTAATTTCTAGACGTACAATCATAATGAAACTTTTTGAACATAATCATATTGTTCAAATGTATGTACATTCCAAAGCACAAGTCTCTACTATTTGAAATACGCCTTTTACAAAGGTGTGGGTGAGGGGGTGGATATAAGAGTGAGGGTTACATTAAAACAAAAATCGAAATTATGTAAAGTGCATATAAGTCTGCACTTAAAATTTGCAAGCTCTAGCTCTAAAGGTGTAGGCGATATAATTAAATAACTAGCTTTCGATAAGGTTTTTAATCGATAATGAAATATAGTTAGTATATAGTAGTAGATATACACGGACCTAGGAAACAAAATTTCAAGAGTCTAGCTCGTATATCTTCTGAGATCCACGCGCTCATACATACGGACGGACGAACAGACAGACATTTTTTATGGCTAAAATTTCAATTTTGATGTATTTAAGAATATAAATAAAATGCAGAACTCACTTAATAAAATATAAAAATATTTTGAACCAATTAAAAAAATTAACGCCACCTCACTTTCGGAAGCCGTTTTGGCAAAACTCAAATAGATTCACTGCTGCAACGCCATCTACCAAAACTAAACCAAACTAACAGCTGATATGATTCAAAAAATGTTCTAGAAGAAGTTTGAATGTATGTGTACACGCGTATACGAAACTGTTGTAGCTGCTGCACGTGCGTTTGTTAATTGGCCAAATATTTTATTATTTTTTATTATTTTTTGACTTAACGGAATTTAATGATACTTTCAGCATATGATCTATATCTTATAATGAATATTTGAGAAATTAAAATAAATTATAAATCATTCACAATTAGCTATAGTGGCATCTGACTTGAATTTGAATGTTTTTATTCGATAAAAACATAACGGGATGATTTATCGAATTTTAAAACCAAACTCGACATCCGCGCTGTATATACGGTCATTTAAAAATAAAATGCATGTCTCTAGCTCTTATATCTTCGGAAATACAGACAGACGGACAGGGCCAAATCAACTCAACTCGCCGCCCTGATCAAGAATATATATACTTTGTGGGGTCTGCCACGCCCCCTTCTGCCTGTTACATACATTTCAACAAAGCCACTATACCCTGATTGCCCATTTTCAATGGGTTCAGGGTATCACAATATTCGATTTTTAAGCAAAACAAATATTCTGACATAAATATATTTTGTATACAAAAAATATCGATATATTGATATTTTGATATATTTTCGACAGCCCTAATTTATAGATGTGGGGGAATAATTCTATACCTGATTTTCCATAAGGCTTTCAATCGATATCGGAGTAGTTATCGATTTTTAGCAGCAAACTCGATATCCACGCTGCATATACAGACTTTTTAAAAAGCATTTCAAATCTCTAGCTCTTATAGGGACAGGTTCATGAATACGGATGGACACACGGACAGACAGATAAACGAACAATGCTTGATTAATTCAGCTCATCACCCTGATTAAGAATATCGGGTCTGTCACGCTTTCTTCTGCCTGTTATATACATTTCCAAGAAAATAAATCTACCCAGATTTCCAATTTCAATGGGTTCATGGTATTCAACGTAACGTAAAAGTAATGGATTCAAGCAAATACCAAGTTGTCTGGGAGTTAACAGTCGAATTTTAGTGTGTAAAAATTTTAATTCTACATGTCCAGTCTATCTATTATATATACAGTTGCTATAGTAGCTTACCTGTACGGAAGCTCACACAGATTATTTTGTGAGTGAGAATGCGGCACTTTAGAACTAGTCGTCTTATTAACAGCAATGATTGCTAGCTCAAGTGCCGAGCCAGTAAGACTGCGGTCACTACCACGTCGTCGCGCTAGATTACCAGAAGGCGCAGTTGTATCAGTGCAAATACCACAAGCTGTACTGCCTGTCGTCGTGCTTTTAATCACGTCGCCTAAATTTGGTTGATTTGAAAGAGCGGCAGTCATTTTCTTCTTAGCTCCACTTACAGCACCAAAATTAAAGAATCTTTTTTTATGCGAAGGTTGGATACCACTATCAATAAGTCGTTTGTAGTGATCGGAACGTATAAAACGGGGATAACAATCCTTTTTCAACAGAAGCATGTAAATATGTTCTGAAGCGGAGTCAAAGGTGAAACGCGATGGATTCTTAAGACCACGTAGTACACTTTCCATGGTTTTTCCATCAATATTGATTTCACAAGGTGCTCCAGGCTTAAGAAACTCTCTGAAACAAAAAATTAAGCATGATTACCCGTCCATTTATGAAAAAAAAAATTCTTACTCAAATATCTCGTTAACTGTGCGGGCTACTTGAGAGTGAGCAGTTCGACGGAGACGATTTACTGCAATCCAGAAACGTATGTTTTCGTGAGAGTACTCTCTTTCTAAAAAATTTGTAAACTCCTGCAACCCTGTGGGATCAGAAACTAATTCCTCTATAGAAATAGCCCAGCGCTTTACGCGCTTTTCAGTAGGTATGTCGACAAAAGTACTATTCAGTTGCCAAAAAGTAACATCTTCAGTAACCCAAGGATTAGAGGGAAGCGGTGGCTGTAGAAAAAAATCATATTCGCTGAATGTCTCCGAGTAGCAAACAAGAGATTCACATGCTTGAGACATTTTCATTCGTGTTCCACTTAGCGTTTTGCTCAGAAATTCCACTTCACGTTGTATATCATCGACAGTCTTTTTTTTGTTATGTTTCTGGCCCTGACGATCTCGTGATGGGATAGGGCACGGCTCAAGGGGAGTAAATTGACCGGGTGGTGGACGATGTACACGCCAATAAGCACGTTCTTGTGAGTCACCTACAATTTTATCACCTTTCTTACGCTCCTTGGCCAGCCGTACTTGCTCCTCGGCCTGCATTGAAATAAAGTCCCATTTGCCTTTAAGGTTTTTATGGAGTGAAGCGAAAGCTTCGGCCTCATAATCTTCTAATGCATGGCGCTGCTTATTACGAAGTGAACGTTTTGCCAAATAAATAGCATACTCCACATTGTCCGGTGCCTTGTGCTGCCACGGCCAATAATAAGGAGTTTGGAAGCGATAAAGAGATGAGTCGTCTTTAACAGTCAGAGACTTTGAATCACTGACAGGGAAAAAGTAGCCATGTAGGCACAGCTGATTGGCAATGTTTAATGCCTCCGACTCCTCTATTTGTAAATGATCCATAAGCCACTCAATTAAATCATAGCCTGCATTATAAAAAAAATGTCGTTATTTGTAGTTTCAAAGCTTTTTTTGTTAAGTGTCGGACTTACCCATGAAAGCATATGGAATAGACGTAAGAAACATCTTTTGTTGTCGAACTGGCACACCATGCTCCTGATCCTGCATTTCTCGTACTAGGACTTCCATCTATTAAAGCAAAAATATTCAGTATTTGGTTAAATGTAAAAATTCTTACTGGAACAGATTAAAACAAGTATGAGATCCCCTGAACCCTTTGAGCAACAAATAAAAAAATAAAATAACGGGCAAGTTATCGATTTTCAAAGCAAAATACGATATCCGCGTTGTATACAGGGACCTAGGAAAAAAATTCCAAGTCTCTAGCTCTTATATCTTCTCTGATTTCCCATTTTCAATGGCTTCCGTGTATATCACGCTCATATCGAGTTTTTCTCTATATATGGATAACTACTCCCGATTTTTTAATTTCGATTAAAAACCTTATCGAAAGCTAGCTATTTAATTATATCTCCGCACTTTTACAGCTAGATCTTGCAAATGTAGACTTATATGTATTTTATATAATTTCGGGTTTTGTTGTAATTTCCCCTCCACCTTTATATACACCACCCCACCCACACCTTTGTAAAAGGCGTATTTCAAGTAGTAGAGACTTATGCTTTCTAATGTACATAAATTTTCACCATATGATTATGCTCTGAAAGTTTCATTAAGATTGTACGTCTAGAAATTAAATTATTCAACAAATAAACTCTTATAATGTTGCCCACACTGCAGAGCAGCCCAAGCGCAGTCACTGCTTACTGCTACCACTAACCAGAGAACACATAGACCGGACAAGTAGTGTAAAGCGTTTTGCACACTTTTTTTCGGGAGTTATCTCCCAGACACTTCGTATTTGCTCGGCTCCTCACTTTTTGGGTTCGGGCTACGAAAAAATACGAAAGCACAATCATTTCGCTTCATGCGCTCGACCGAGATAGTCGACTGTTGAACAAAAGATCCCTCTGCGCTGAATGTTTCCCTTGCTCTCTCTCTCTCTCACGATGCTCTCTGCTCTCTCAAATATGTATATGTATGTATGCATGTGAGCACAAGCAGCGCTCACAAATTGAAATTTCTTCGCAGCGAGAGCCCATGCCTACCCTTATGTGTGAAGAGTATACCGAACTTTTCAAACCGTTTGCCATGCGTTTTCGTTATTATTTGTGGGAAGGGTATGAAAGCGTTGGTGCGCATAATGAAAATGTTTTCACGACGAGCATGCACACACACACTTACAGTATGCTGCATGTACTATGAACATTTGTATGCCTGTGTGCGAAGCTCTTGCTGCCTGTAGCATTTTAAATCCCAGCATTTGCATTTGGTCGATCTTGTGAAGTGCTCACATACATATGTATGTATGTATGTATATACATTTGATTGTGTGTACGCATGGGAGGCGCTGCTCACAATTATAGGATATAACTTGTAGAAGCATTTGTATGCCTGTGTGTGCCTTTACATGTGCGTGTGTATGCCTGGGAGATGAACATTGGCGTGTGCCTCCCTCAACTTAGAATGGTGTGAACGATTTTGGGTTTTATTTGAAGAGGCGCGCTTATGTTTAAGTACCTGATTTCATTCAATGATCGTGGGTTTGCCTATCAGAATGAATGTTTTTTAAAAATGTGGTACCTGATTAATCCCAGTGGGCAAAATGGGATGTGTTTTTTGAACCCTTGCACTTGTGCAAGTTAACAACAAATATATTTTTCAAGTTAAAAACAAAAATATTCTGCATTGCAACAAAACCCAATGGGAATTGTTGCAACACAAATAAAACGTAACAAGCTGATCAGACCAATAAGCCAAAACTGCTGACACCATGTCTAGCGGACTTCCTGCACACGCCAACCAGAGCTCCAGCAATTCCAAGAAGAATTGCACAACGGTTCAACAACACCACGAGCGACGCCGCTGCCAACGTCGTCGACTGAACCACAGCTTAGCTAGGGATAGAATTGATTTAAGTAATTTAGTTGCAAATTTGTTCTTCAATAAAGCGGACTGCATTTAAACAGCGAAATATCAAAACATCTTATTTTTTCCCGTTTTAATAAAGAAAGAACTTAACTGGCGCCCGAGCAGGGACCGGCTTCGCGCGCAATACAGCAAAACGTTTAGTACGTGCGCGATACTGCAAGTTAAAAGCAGAGTCGGTTCAAATAAAACGAAAATTCGATCGCGTTACAACACAGCAAAACGCCTGTACGAGCGCGACCGAAAATCACCAAAGCAACTCACGTCGCGTAACTTCGACGTTCGGTGAAATTCGTTAAAGGTAGTCTGGAACGTAATAGTTCGATTGCCCATCGGTGGACGGTAATCCTGTACGGCCCGCCCACAGGATACTTCAACGGAGTCTGGTCGCAGGATCCCCAGTAGGTACAACCAAAAAGGATGAAATCCGGATCAGCAGTGAAGACCGCCACATCATCATTATTGTAAGTTAGAAACATAAGAACACGAAACAAGAAACTAACAAAACTAAAACTAAAACAAATAAGTGTAATAAAATATAAGAAAAGTTTTTGAGAAAAATAAAAATTAAATAAGTGTAATAAAATATAAGAAAAATTTTTGAGAGAAATAAAAATCAAACAAGTTTAAGAAAATTTAAGGAAAATTTTTAGAAAAATAAAGAGAAAAATAAAATATTAAAAAAAAAAAAAACAAAAAAAAAACAAAAAATAAAAAAGCGTAAAGCGATCAAATTCAAAGTGACTACAATAGTAGTATAAAATAACCCAACTTTGCGATTCCCAAGGGACCCTCCAAAGTAGAAGGGAAAAACCAGCCACTGGTCTTAATACAAAATAAAAATAAAAGCTAAATTTAAATTTAAAAAAAAAAAAAAAATTTTTTTATCTCAGAAATTTCTTTATATTAAATTAAGTTGTACTAATGATAATCATAAACTAACACTAACTAACTAACTAAATTCAATCAAAAATCCACCTGTAAACATAAAACAATAGATCAAAGTCACAGTTGATAACGTATGGCTAACGAGAATAATTTGATTAGGCCCCCAGTGTTAGTCGAACAACCCCAAGTAGGTGCACACATTATCAATAGGCAGCAACAACGACATATAGACCGTCAGAACGAACACTTGCAGAACAGAGGCATGGCGAATAACGCAGAACAGTTGATTGCAGCCACTGTCGCTCAAATTTTGACAGAACAACTTCCGACGCTAGTGAGACAAATAGTTAACCCTTCTAGAGAATTCAATGACGTGGACGATCAGACCATAAACGACAATCAAAATTTGAACGACCTTAACAGAGTACCAGACATTGTCAAAAGTCTTAGGGAATTTTCCGGCAACAAAATCGAATTTAGCTCATGGAAAAAGAGTGTGGATCGCATACTCTCCATATATGCAAGCCAAGTTGGATCACCAATGTACTATGGTATTTTGCATACCGTGAGAAATAAGATCATCGGACAAGCCGACGCGGCCCTCGAATCTTACAATGTTCCCCTTAATTGGAGTGCCATTTCCAAGTGTCTCACACTGCACTATGCAGATAAAAGAGATATAAATACATTAGAATACGAGATGACTATGTTAATACAGGGCAACAACCAGACAGTAGAACAGTTTTATCAGGTTGTCTACAACCAGCTGACTTTAATATTGAACAAAGTAGGATGTATGGAACTAAATAGAGAGTCGGAACTACTCATGACGAAAATGTACAGGGAAAAAGCATTAGACACTTTCATCAGAGGTTTGAGAGGAGACTTGCCACGTATTCTTAGCATAAAGGAACCAACAGACCTTCCCTCAGCTCTCCATTTATGTTTGAAATTAGAAAATCAGAACTATAGAACAAACATAGCATTCAATAAAAGCCATCAAACAGGTCACAAAAGCGTAGCTCGAAACGCAACACCACCCATGTTGCCACCGCGTATGGTTCAATACGCACAAAATCCCCCTCAGATGATGAGATCTGTACCAATTGGTTTCAGAGCTCAAGTGCCAATGCAACATGCATGGCCAAATACCATGAATCAGGGACACCAATACCATAGACAACAATATTACCAAACGCAACCTCAACAGACAAACGTACCGCCCCGACCATTAGCACCTAAACCACAGCCACGCCCCGAACCAATGGACGTTGACAAAAGCATCCAAACACGGATGGTAAATTACATGAACAGGCCAAATTTTGAGCCAGGGAAAAGACCCCCACCAATAGCAAATACAACAGATAAAAGACAACGAAACTTTAATATTCAAACGGGAGAGGAATATCCCGACAATGACTACCACAACGCTTCCATAACTATGGAAGAATACGGACAGACCATCGAAAGCTACGAACAACAGACCGAACACGAGCAATCACTACAAGAGTACGCACAACAAATAGAACAAGATGACAACGAACAAGAGAGCCCCATTGAACATGATAACATCAATTTTTTAGAATAACTAGCTCTTCGCTTCCTTACATAGAATGTAAGACAAAAAGCGGAGAGATACTTAAAATACTAATAGACACAGGTTCGAACAGAAACTACATACAGCCCAAACTAGTTTCTAACCCGATTCCCAATCAAAAGCCTTTTGAAGCCGTAACAGTCGGCGGAAATATAAAAATAACTCACCATAAAATCGCTAATCTCTTTGACAGACAAGATATCCAAGTAAAATTTTTCCTATTACCTACGTTAAAAGCATTTGACGCAATTCTGGGCAACGACAGCCTTAAAGAATTAGACGCTGTAATCCATAGCAGCAAGAATCAATTAATAATTAAAGATACCATATTTATACCCCTTAGACAAAAAAAAAATCGAGGCAGTTAACACTGTCATACCACGGACAGATCACATGACTATCGAACAGAAACAAAGATTAAAACAGTTAGTTACGAAATACCCCAATTTATTTGCCACCCCAAACGAAAAATTAACCTACACAACCAATGTAAAAGCAGAAATTCGAACCAAAACAGATTCACCCATATATTCTAAATTTTACCAATTCCCAATGTCTTTAAAAGACGAAGTCCATAAACAAATACGAGAACTTTTAGAGGACGGAATTATTCGCCCATCCCGATCACCCTACAATTCACCTGTGTGGATTGTTC